ATGGTCAGTGCTACCGGTGGTAACGATGGTCATGAGAGCAATCACGAAAGAAGTGAACACTATAATCAACACGACATAGTCAATAGATGGAACAGCGGGGACCCCACCCGAAGCAGCGATCATCAAAAGAGATGCTAACAGCACTGTGAGTCCGTGATTCAAAGATAAGCATGGTCAAAATCGAAACTCCGTTTGGATCTTCACGATGGACGGGTAGGCTCCTCTTCCTCACCTTCAGTCGATCCCTCCTCCTAACTCCAATCCTTTTCCCGATGTTCTCTATGCTCTTCCTTCTCTTACGTCTCCATCCCGCTAGTGTTTACCCATATGCCACGCAGCCTTTACAGCCCGTAGCGCCCGAACCGGTGTCCGGCTTCGAAATCTGCCATAACCAATGTCTTCAAAATGCCTCAAAACCCCAGTATAGCACCTTTGTCTGTCCAAAACGGCCAAGAGATGACCGAGATAGACCAACTTTCCTTCCCGGCCAGATCTGCTTCCCGACTCGTCCGCGCAGTCCAGAACCCGCACCCCGCCTACAATACTATCTTATTGCTAAATCTAGCTGCGCCATCATACTCGCAGTGCATCAAAACCCCAATATCAAGTTTTACTTCGCCCGATTCCGTCAAGGAACGGGCGAGACATGACTCCTTCCATACTATTACTTTACGTCCACCATCTCCCTCGTCCCCGTCGCCTTCTTTCTCCCGAGTATAACACACCCCTCTGCCCTCCGTCTGATACCAGTTCGAGCAACCAACACAAGCTGCTAACCAGATCCCGCCTCGGATTTATACTTACCGCGCTTGCTCCGGGGTCACACTCATCTTTTCTGTATTCGTTCCAACTTTAACGGATGTCCCGAAGGACTGTACCCTGGTCCATGGACAGTGGTCCGAGTTACCAGCTTCGAAGCGGCCGGCTCCAAGTCATTCATAATGGATTTTATTTATTAGTATTGTCATTATCATTATCATTATTATTATATTATTATATTACTGTATTCCTGCGACTACACCGTGATTCCAAACTCGGGTCTGCCTTCCAACAGTCCACGGGTGTACCCACTGCGCTAGGCCCATTGGTACCCTCGACTGCCTTGGGATTGGTACCAGCCTACGGCAGAAGTTGCCTCTCAAGGCTGCAGCTAGGGGGGCAACCATGCTTACGTGCACGTGGCCATAACTCCTGCAACATGCCCCCTCAACAGAATGCCCCTGAAGTGTGTGACCTATGCTCTTTATCGTGGCCATTCTGGCTCCGCCACTAGTGGGAGGCTGCAGACCCTGCTGCACAGCATGCGGCGTGAGCCTAGGTGAAACAGGTCCCGGCGCAGGACCCTGGTAGCAGTAGAAAAGGAGCTTTTGGGGACTGAGTGGGGAGGGGCCCCATGAGCACAGTGGTGCACATAACACCGCTGCGGACCTTCCCACGGTGCCCCAGGCTGCCCTTGTTTTTCTGGTCCCAGAGGACATGCTCAGGCCCAAACGTCCTACAGCAGAAAGTGGGTGATGGTCAGTGCGCCCACAGCGCCGTCGGCCCCACAGCCCAACTCAGGACCACGCGCAAGGGACATGCCAAGTATCTCAGTGTTGGTACAGTTTCAGCTCATGTCCCAGAGGACTACACCAGGGACTACGGCCTTGGGGTACCACCATTAAACTGATCGGCCCCACGGAGTTCGAAATTAGCTGGTTTTACTCATTAAGTTTCATCATCCGGTTCGAACTCGGGTCCGAATTTCAACAGTTCGTGATGTATCCATTGAGCCATACCTGTTGGTTTACGGCCGGTTCTGAGACCGGACTGCGTCCCGTAGTGGGACTTAAAACTAACCATAAAAAAAAAACAAAAAAAAACAAGGCAATAAATAAAACCTAGAAAATCTGAGAAAAATCGGAGTAGGAAAGGGGGACCACTGGTTCTCGGTCCTTGGCCCAGTCCCGCGGGCCTGCAACCAGGACTCCCCAACAAAAACCAAGGAGGATAGTCCCGAGGGACCCTCAACCCCTCGGTTCTCCTGCGCCCCTTCCCTGTTTTGCTGCTCCTCTGTTCTCTGCCATCCTCGATCCCAAGATCCGCCTTGTGAAAGTTTAGTGACGTAACCTATAGGGCTAATCCCAAGCCTAAGTCCAGCAGGCGCAATGCCCCTTATGAATGGTACGGCCAGTCAACTCTGGCCTGCAAATGGCATCCCAGGCCGTTTCTCCCCCCTGCGGTCTACGTCCTTGGCTCCTAAGGCCGTACCTGGCTACTCTGGTGGCGCGGCTCCGCTGGCTTACCATGCGCGCCGGCTTAACCCTGGCTGGGCTGCAGGTTGAGCTCCTCTGGGCCGGCCACGATGCCTTTTTACCGCCTCTCCGTCGAGAAAACCCCGCTCGTTGCTCTTGTTGTGCCACCCCTCCTTGGCCTCACTGGCGGCTCCTGCCATCGTTAGTGACTTCGTACGGTGTGACCCCGAAGCTGCCGGTTTTCGACAAGTCGGGTGGCGTTTCTCTTTTAGTCCTAGCCCTACCAAGTCAATACTATGCCGTCCGAGATTTTGCCTGTGCGTGCAAGGTTGCGACCACCTCAGCGACTCTAGCGTGGCACCCAATCGTCCTACCGACGTCGCACGACCTTCCTTGACCCAGACTCAGTTAGGCTAACGCGTGCCCACGAAGTGCACGCCCACACACTCTCTAATAAATACAGATGGGACGCGCCCTCAGATATCGCCAGGCGTGCCCTTCTTGTGAGCTGCAAAAACATGCCCAAATACCCTTGTAAGGGTATTCGGGCCGACAATTTTCCGGACCTTATTAAGCGACGTCCCCGTCGCGTCGGACAATCAAGGTTATAAGCACAAGCACATCTTGCTGACGAGGAAGCGACCAATCCGGTTCACCGGCTCGAATCCGTTCGAGTTTGTCTCATCAACTTGCCCCCGTCACGACGTTCCACTGCCAGGGTTTCAACCTGGGTCTCCCACGTCCTGGCCTCGGAGCTAGGGGATACTTTGTTCCGTACTACAGCGTACTACCAGCTCTCAGGTAGTAGGTTGACAGTCCACTCCCTTCGTCGTAGACATCTGTCGGTTCGCCGTTGGGTGTCCTAGTTAGTCATCGTCCCGCGAACGGGGTCATAACTTAGGACGCGGACCCTAACCGAGACCTCTCGACATACAGGGCGCCCTTAGCCACCCATATGGTAGTGCCTACCATCTTAAATCACAACAAACGCCCCACCTGGAGTCTAACACAGGCGGCCGCAGGTCTCCATCTTGGCCCACCATGGACCGGTCGATCACGCCGAATCCATGGTCCACCGCGTTGTTATGTAGCGGTGGTACCCTCATTGGTTACGCAACGATAAACAACTTCCTTAACTTGGCACCCCGAAGGGTCCTGACTCTTGACTTAGTCGACCCCAATGACCTTCCCTCCAGCTAACCCCCTCTGGGTGGCCGACCCTTCAAGACTTAACCTTTGGTAAGCCATGGTCCCGCTGCCAGGTTGCGCCGGTCAGCGGCCCTCGCTGGGAGTTAGGTTCTACAGTTCCAGCGATGCTAAGTATAGCCCCTTAGCCTGGCCTCACAATACGTCCCTTAGACTAACCCATGTGGTCTGGCACTTTCTTTCACAACAACAATCAAAGGATCACATACCGCTGCCCACGGGACTACGTGGAGGGATAGTGCTCTTCTCAATATACCATCCAAAAATCCTCGATAATTCCACAGGGTCGTGCCTCCCTTACTCTGATCAGAAGCAGGTGAGGTCACACGTCTTTTTAGGGATACTCACAATATTATCCAGTTTCCAACATAATTGTCGGAAATTTCCAACTATGATTTTCACAAAATACCTGGTCTTTCCTCGTCAGACTTTCACATACATGCAAACAGTTATCATGACTTATAGCAGCTCTTCTGGGTGCCCTCACAAAATTTCATCCCTCCAAGAAAGTCCAATTGGCCATTGGACTTCCCCATCTCATTTCTGAATCATACACAAAAAGCACAACTTCAGTTGTGACCTCTCCATTCCTCACCAACCCAACTGGGTAAAGCATATCATCACTGCCTCAATAATCTGAGAGCACTCCTCTCTCCTATACTTCCGGCTCCACCCGTCATTAGGACAAGGGTGCGCAAGTATAGTGGAAGGAAGCGCAGATCAGCCCATCTCACAACATTCATTTCATCATATCATCATCCATATGGGCAAGTCCACAAACCGAGAGTGAGTGTGACACACCCCACACAGCACGGAGACAAGGGTTGAGACTCACATATACACTCAGGGCATGGGGCTTTGCAATGAACAAAGACTCTTGTCCTCATCACCAAAATCAAGGTTATTATACAAAAAATACAGGTATCCAACAAAAGTTGTGGTACCCAAGCGTCGAAGTATCCAAGACCCGACAGTCGCTCCACACGCACGGGGTTTATTTAACAAGGGTATTAACACTCTGCGTCACCTCGGCGGAATAGAAAGCAATCAACTCATACTCAGTTTTATCTTATGTACAAAGAAGGTCCTCAAGTCTATAATGCGATATAACACCTCATTACTGGCCCAACTCACTGATGTACATGGGTCTGATCCAATCCTCCAAGTATCCCTCTATATACAAGTAACCATCCGTCGGTGAGTCAGAGACGTCTCGCATATACCAGACTTAGGCCTTTCCGGACCTTATTAGAAAACCCTACTCCTGATCACTTATGACCATCTGCAGCTGCCTATACAGCTGCGCCCTCACCCCATCACGACCCTTATGAACTTGGAATCCATTCTTATCTATCCACTTCCCCGATGACTCCCTGGTGACTAGTCCAGCGGCCTCATCTTTCAGGCTCTTCGGACAATCGTCAGCCCGATGTTTGCCTCTCTTACAATAGAAACATTTCCCAGTCTTCTTCTGCATCGTCTTCTCCTCTTCCTGCGAGGGTACTGATGGCGGGACTGCCGTAACCTCGCTCGTGGCCTCCTGCTGAGGGGTCTCTAATGGAATGGGGCAGGCGGCTCTATCTCCTTCCTGTATCACTGGACCACTCGCCCGTGCCTCTGACCTAGATCCAATGGCCCATCAGCCCAACGCCTCCTCCAAACCTGCAACCATAGGCATATCCTGAGGTATAATAGGCTCCTGGCAGACCCCCTGACCTGCTCCCAGCTCAGTCTCAACCTCAACCCTCTTAACCACCTGCTCCTCAGCAGCCTCCTGGGTGATAGGCAACATCCTCTCATCCCTCGCATTCTCTGCCTGCTGTGCCGCACCAAGTCCCCCACGAGCCCGTTGGAGTGCCACGATTGAGGGCATCTGCCATTCAGGTTCTTCACCCTTTGCCTCCTCCTTTGCGCTCACTTCCTCAGGTTGCAGCATCTCCTTGTCCAACAGAGGTACATCCTCTCCTTCCTGTAGATCAGCCTTCTCCTCCACTTTTTGGCTCCTGAAGGTGTCTTCTGCAGAATCCTTTTCATTTCGAACTTCTGGACCTCAGTCCAGTCCACCAAGGCCGTGGGAACTCTCTGCTCAAGCTTCGTTTCTAACTCCTTGATCCTCTTTTCCCACTCAGCTTTCTTTGCCTGAAACGAGGTCTGCTGAGTCTGCAGGTAGGCCCTTAGCACGTCATTGCCCTTTCTAAGGGTCTGGTTGACCAGCCTGATTGCCTCATTTTCTGCCTAGGCCTTTTCCAGTTCCACCTTCATTGCGTTCAGCTCACGGTCTTGCGTTTCCTGATTCTCCTTCAGGTCCTTAATCTCTCGCTCCCATTCCACCTTCTGATCATAGACCTTCCAAGCCACCTTGGTGAGTCTTTCTCCAACCTTCTGATATGATGCCTTAGCTGCAGCGAACCCTTCCTTCATCACTCCCTTCAGGGTGAGCAAGTCTGCAAAGACCAACTTCACCCCCATCTCCTGCTGATGTGCTCCTGGTCCCTTTGCGACTTCCATCAACTTATCAAAGTTCTTCCATGCTTCTGAGAGTAAGGGAGGATCTTCTTCCTGTTGGCTGCTTACACTTTTCCCTTTTCTGTCCTTTAGGTTCACTGGCCGCTCTCCCTGCTCCATCCTCTTGTGGAGTTCTTCAAGGTTCTTCCCCCTGATTTCCGCTTTGATCTCCTGCTCTCTTGCGGCTCTTTGTTGTTTTTCCAACTCCTTTTCTTTTGCAGCCTGATCCTCATCCATCTCTTGTCTGGGTGACTCATGAGGCCCCTCTGGTCCTGCCTCTGTCATTGGCTGATCCTCCTGCCTCTAAGTAGACTGAGGAAGAGCCTCAGGTGCCTCTAGCTCTCTCCTCCTCTGCGTCCTCTCAGATGGCTGCTCCTCTCTTTTCTCTGCCCTATGGGAAGTGTGCTCTCTTCTTCTTTCTCCCTCCTGAGACCTCGAGGAGGTGCCTCTCTCAAAAGTCCTGCCTTCTGCCTCAGGCTCCTTCCTTTTTCATTCCATGCTTCTTCTCTCCTCCTGGCGTGTGGGAGTATAGTAGCTCCTCAGTAACCGCATGCAATCTCCCCAATGCAACGCTCTTTCCACAACGCTCCTGGCGAACATCCTGATAGGCCTCCTCACGAACTAGAGGAACCCTCTCACTCTGGTCTCAGGTGCAATGTTCTGCTCGACCGCAAATTGGTCATAAGCCCACAAGAACTCATCCAGGTTCGTTCCATCGAACCGGATTGGCACTCCATCTCTCCCCACAGGTGATGGATGTATCCCTTCCATCTTCCTTTCGAACTCCTGCCAGGTCGCCGACTCCCATACATATCTGGCAATGGCCTCAGCCCACTCGCCCTCTCCTCGTACCTCTCTCCGCATCCTGGCTCCATCCCATCTGAACTCGTTGGCATGTTTCTCGAACTCGACCAAAAACAACTCCACGTTCCCTCCTCTGAAGATGGGTGGCCTGTCCTCTCTCCTGGTCCATCCCTGCACTCTCTGTCTGGCTGCCCCCTGAGGGGGTCCCACTGGCCCTGCCCCTCCCTTCCCTCTTGGCATGGCTTCGCCGAATGGTGTCAAGCCTGCACAACAAGGAAGAGACAAGCCAAAGCACACAGAGTGTAAGCAGGTTCGGGACACAGTGAGAGACAGACACATCCCTCCCCACCTAACCTAGACGCCTATACAGGCATACACATACATACCTGCACATACATACGTACTATCATAACCTATCATATCATTCTAATGAACGTCCGTACAATCTTGCTATACTGATACCCCCATCTAAAAGACATACTTTAACAAGAGAAAGGGACTCTAACTTGTGGGGTCCAGGCTCATCTCGTCTCGAGCGACAAATTTCTTCAACCTCGAGTCTGACACCCAATCCTTCCAAGCGGTCCCATTCAGCTCCTCAATTTGGTACATGCCGTGCTCTCCACACCTGGCGATCCTGTATGGTCCCAACCACCTCTTGCCCAGCTTTCGAGACCACTGCTTCTCCAGGGATGAGTCATACAGCAACACAACGTCTCCCACTTTGAGAGGCTCCTTCCTTAGTAGTGCCATCTTATCCCACCGGAACTTGTCCTTGGTACGACTGTCCGCCGTCCTACTCGCCGCTTCCTCAATCCTGTCCTCAATGACGCCGATCATCCGTGCTCTCAAAGCCAGCAGCTCTTCAAACGTCAGTTCCATCTCGAGGTCCTGCCGTCTCCAGGTCTTCAGGAAACTCTCGATAGGAAATGTAGCGTGCCTGCCCCAACAATCTTCTTCGATCTCGTCATCGGAGTCCACTATGATAGACTCTCCCTTGGTAGTGCCATTTTTCCTTTCCTGCTCCACCTCTTCGCTTTCACCTATCTCCTCCACCCTGATAATGCTACGGACCTCTTTCTCCTGCCATATCCGAAACATGGTTGGAGGATTGGGTGGTGCACCTGCTTCCGCCCTGCGTAAGGCCTCCTTCCTTGTGCCACCTGGAATCTTCGGGTCCAGGTGGTACCCCCACTTGTCGTACATATCGCCATCGTAGTTGGTGCTGATCAGCCCTTCATCCTCGTCGTTCCTCCTAATGTGGCAGAACTTGATGGTGTGGCCTTTCTACCCACAATGCCAGCAAATGACATTCCTCCAATCAATCCTGCCTCAGCCTGCGCCTCTTCCACCTTCTTGACCTCCTTGACTTCCTGACGTGTTTCAACCCTTGCTTCCCCCGCCTGCGGCGTTACCACCACCATTTCCTCTGCCGTTACCTCCCCTGCCACCATTCCCGCACCCTCGACCCCATCCTTGATTCTGTCCGCGTCCGCCGCCTTAATTACCTTGCGAACCTTGCGGGGCGGACTGCTGGGGTTGGGTTGGCGGTGGGGCTGGATGGCTCACTTGTTGGGCTTGGGGTCCTGGGCAGCCACAGGAAGCCGTGCTCATTGATGGTCCAACACATTATCCACGTGGCCCTTTCATGGGCCACGGGGCGTATGAACAGTGCCCACGTCAATGACTCGAAGGCCTACAACCTGGTCACGGCCCATAGGGTGTTGGTGCAGCTTGATGGGACGACTCAGGAGGGGGCATTGCCACAGCCTGCGGGACCTGACCCCTCGCCGAGCCTTAGCCCCCTTGAGCCAGATTCCTGGTCTTTCTTTGAGCCTTGGTCAGTTTCTGAGGCTCGGGCTCTTCTTCCTCTTCCACTTCTTCCTGCACCACTGCTTTCTTCGTTTTCCCTACGGTCTGTGGCGCTGCCATGGTTTTCCTTTTTGCCTCTTTCTCTGCTTCGAGCTGGACCACTGCATCTTCTATCAATTTTCTAAAGTCTCGTCCGTCGCTCGTCGTGGCTTCCAAGGCCTTTCTTTTCTTCCTAGCCTGTCTCATTTGGAAGATGTCTACTTGGTCCAGTTCTCCTTCTATCACGCCCTCCTTTATGGCGGCCCAAGTCAGCTTCTTTCCTGGCGTAGCCTTCTTGGTCAACGACGAGGCCTCCCAATTCTTGAAGTGCCCCAGGAAAGTGGCACACTGTTCCTCCTCCGCCAACCCTGGGACTCTCTTTGTCATCTTTTCAAATGTCGTCGCGAAGGCTCCCACCGTGGAGAACTCGTCTCGCTGCAACATCTCCAAGTCCGTCTCCGTTAACAAGTCATCCCCTAACTTGAACCGCCTCTGCATTTCTGCCTTGAACTTAGCCCAGTCTCCCCCTGCGTCAGCAGCCACCTTCATTACTTCGGGCCGGGTTCCCCACCAGACGTACCTGGGTAGAAACTTGAATTTATCTACTTCAGGCACCTCGGCCGTAACTTGCTCCAGTAGCTCCAACCACTTTGACACCCTCTCCCCTTCAAAGTGGAAGATGTCAATCTTAGGCACTTGTAGCCGCGCAACTCCCTTTTCTCAATTGCCTTAACGAAGTCTTCTGGCGTAGCGGCAGGACCGCGCTCGATTCCATCGACGTCCGACATTTTTACCTTCCTTTGCTAACCAACCTGACAAGAGTAAGAAGGATAGGCCGACAAGCAACTCATCAAAGTTCAAGGGACACGTCCTACGCCCTACCGGACCATTTCGCCTCCAAGTTTGGCTACCCTTTCTACCATTAGTTATTCGAAGCCCAAGATACAACCTTGAGTCACGTCCTCCATCACTTGATCTTATTATAATCTTATACACAATCCCCTTATATAAAACAATCCCATCCTACAAACTTTTGTCGTTTTGTCTAGATCGTCAGCCTGCACCTAACCTGGGTTCGTTCTCTTAGGGACCCCAGTAGGCAGCCGAGATCCCCGGCAACGGCGCCACCTGTCGAGCGCATCGGTCCCACACGGGGACCCTCCCGGCTGCGTCACGCAGGATTATGCAGGACTTGTCGCGGAGAGCGTTTGCCGCTCCGGCCGAGTGCGCCAGCCGTACCTCTCGCGAGCCCCTACGACAGAACAGAGTCACGCGAGGCATTGCTACCTCCACCTGCGGGAGCTGTCACCATCCCTTAGGTGGGCGTATCCCTACCGAGCTACCGGACCACATGCGAAAGCTTTTCGTATGCAGTTGCAGAGGTGGCCCAGCCGAGGGCGTTTCTCGCTCGCTGTAGCATAGGGGGTACGGGCGTTCGACCGCGCGTACCCCAAATACTACAGCGAGCGAGAAACGCCCTCGGCTGGGCCACCTCTGCAACTGCATACGAAAAGCTTTCGCATGTGGTCCAGTAGTTCGGCAGGGATACGCCCACCTAAGGGATGGTGACAGCTCCCGCAGGTGGAGGTAGCGGTGCCTCGCGTGACTCTGTCCTGTCGTAGGGGCTCGCGAGAGGTATGACTGGCGCACTCGGTCGGAGCGGCAAACGCCCTCCGCGACAAGTTCTGCATAATCCTGCGTAACGCGGCCGGGAGGGTCCCCGTGTGGGACCGATGCGCTCGACACCGCAAAAAGAAAAGAACAGAAAAGAAAACCGAAAACAAAAAGAAAACATTTTTGCGGTTCCCAAAACGAAAAGAAAAGAAAACGAAAACGAAAAAAAGAAAAGAAAAATGCTTGTCTTTTCCGCGGCCCGCAAAAAGAAAAGGACAGAAAA